ACACCCAAACAAATTGCAAAAACCAATAATGGATATAACAGGAAGCGTTGAAAATGTCAGAGCACATTCTATCATATGTGGTGGACATATAAAGAAAGCAAGACAATATTGGATAAAAATCCATGACGAAATGCAAAGATACTAAAACTTAAGTTTGCAACAGAACCTAAAAGTATGTCACTAAATATTTTACCAAGTAATATCATGAGAACACATAGTGAACTATTTAAATATATGGTAGCAGCGGCAAAGATAACATTTGTGACAAAATGGAAGGTGGAGAAATGTCCAGAACTAATGGAATAGAAGAACAAATTAAACAAATATGAAACAATGGCAAAACGCTGCACATTTTGTCCCAACATTATAACATTGCTACTTTTTATATTTATATTTATATTTATATCTACATTTTATTCAATTCTCTGTATTATCTGTTTAATGGAATTTTATGTGAGTCTTCCTGAGCCTGCTTCGGCGGGGATGGGGGATATAAATCAAATAAATAAATTATAATAATAATTGTGTTGTAATGCAATCAAGATTGCGCTTTAAAAATTAGCGGATTGCTCAGGGGACAACCTGAAGGGAGGCAGGAGGGCAGTGAGCATTTGACATTGATGTCACAAAAGGGCAGCGGAACATAAAATTCAAAATCAGGAATTTCTCACTAGCAAAATGCAAGATCAGATCCAAAGGGGGGGAAATTATGGAAAAGATGGATTCAGAAAATGCGGGCTAACAGGACACTAAACTAAAATATACTCTTGGGGAGGGAAAAAGCTGTGCAGAAAGTTTTGCAAACATTGGCTGCGGTCACACGGAGCAGTAAGCAAGCAAGAGGGACTGAAGAGAGGCGGAGTTTCCGGGCGCGATCTCACAGCAACATCTGGGGAGCGTAGAGCTCCCATGGCTGATCCATGGCTACCGGCCGAAGACGCGCAGTAAAAAAACTAGTACCTCCGAGGTACTAGTTTCTGGGAACTGCACAGCAAGGGCGGGCGCCTGATCGCGCCCCTGCCGGACTCCCGTGGCATCCGGCGCCCGCCGGGTGGTTCCCCCCCATGCCTCTAGAAGCAGCCAACAGTGCGTGCGCACAAAGGTGGCTGCTGGTGGGGAGGGGGATCCGGCGGGTTACTCCCCCCTCCCCTCCTTGTGAGCGGCCCAGGACCCTGCCCAGAGTGGGCTGTGAACGGCCCGTTCCGTCCCCTTCCAATCAGCCGGCTGCTCTCGGTGGAGGTGCGGATGCTCGTGTGATCGGCACCTCCACCTTAACCACGGGACCTTGCCGGGACCTCATCGGTTCGTCTGATCCTGCTCCCACGAGGTATTTTGCCCCGGGGCTAAAAACCATGCCCCCCCCCCCCCCGCAGTTTCCTGCCTGTGTGACCACAGCCATTGATTATTTAAGAACGCCGATGCAGAAGTTTGCACTTGTGTGGAAATGGTCTGTCGCTCTGCCTATCCTACCTCACAAAGATGTTGAGAGGAGAAAAAGGATGGACGTAGAGAATGTTCTGGCAATGCTCAGGATTAAAGTATAATGATGCAGGGATCATCTATGGACCTCTCTCCCCAGGGACATTCGTCTGTCCCCTCCTGCCAACTGTCTTCCGCCAGCAGATCAAAACTTCTTTGTTTTGTCTGGTTCTCCCTCAAAGATCTGTACTTCCTTCCCTACTTTTAAAATCTGTGCTTAAGTCTTTGCTTTTAAATAAGTATGGTTTGGTTTTAAATATTTTATGACGTGTTTTATAATGCCTGTTTTAACTGTTAGTCACCTTTGTGGTCCTGATGGGGTGGAAAGGCAAGGTACCAATTTTGAATTAAATAAATCCTGCCCGCCTTGCAGGGATGGTGTGAGTGGCCTCCAAAATTGGAAATGACTTGAGGCATCCAACATGCCCTTTGATGCTCTGCAAAAAGCTGCTGCTTTGTTTACAATAAAGACACCATGAAAGCAAATCCTTAATAGCTCTAATTAAAAAATTGTTGAGTGGAACAGAGCAGTCCATCTATACATCAGGGGACCTGCTGTCATAAAAATTAATTGTTGGTGGAGGGGCAATTTAAAATCAGTTGCATTTATATATATTTTAAAAGAAGCACCTGCATCAGTTAGAAACTGAAGAGATAACTAGAAATCCACTTGGAAAGCAGTGAAGAACTCTCAAGTCCATTCTGCTTTCCCTGGCTCTGAAAAAAACTGCTTCGTGGATGACTGGGGTGGTTTTCTTCAAACACAACACAGACCAGTTTCTGCAATGGCTAAGGACCGGTAGAAGCGCACAGCTAACTCAAGATCCAGACCCAGGTGTGTAAAGTTCGGGGCGGGGAGGTGGCAGGCCTTGAGTCCTCCTGAGATTTCCCCAGCCCCAGGGAAGTGTTCTTAGGATGACAACCTGGAGGAAAAAATGTCCTGGCCCTTTCGTAGAGGTGTGATGTGCCACCATTTACCAGGTGAGGTTATTCACGGCCATGCCAGGAAAAGTTTTAACTGCCTATTTCCACACATTAACTTTCTAACTTTGTAATTTATGATATTTTACTGTTTTATTGTCGTGTCCTATGTGACCTGCAACCCGCCCTGAGTCCGCTTGCAAGGAGGGCGGGATATAAATTTAATATAATATAATAAATAAAAACTAAGCCTCTATTAACGGGAAAGGACATTTTATTCTTCAAGCCTGTTGGAAACACTACATATTGTACATAAGGAGGAGGAGGAAATTGGATTTATACCCCGCCCTTCACTCGGAGTCTCCCATCTTTTCCCCTCCCCACAACACACAGACACCCTGTGAGGTCGGTGGGGCTGAGAGAGCTCTTGACAGAAACGGCTCTTTCCAGAACAGCTCTGATGGAACCATGGCTTGCCCAAGGTCATCCAGCAGCTGCATGTGGAAGAGTGGGGAATCAAACCCGGTTCTCCCAGATTAGAGTCCGCGCACTTCACCACGACACCAGACTGACTGGCTAGAGGACCCCAGCTCCCGTGTCCAGCCCCTGTTCCCCCTCTCCAAAGGGCAGTCAGGTTTGACCATAGAGTTCCCTGTGATCACCCTGCCAGCACCTCTTGTCACCCACCAAGTGAGATACACATTGAGGGTCCTCTGGTGTTTTATGAATTTAAGCTAACAAATGTTAAGCTTGAAAGTGTTTTTCAGGCCAAAAAGGTATGGAGTAGGCAAAAGCAGAGGTTAGGAATGTTTCTTTCCATTGTGTGGCCAGTGGCACAAATAGGCTGTTTGTTTCAGTTTCCTGTTGAAGGGACAGAAGATTTCCTAACTAATAAAATGCTGCCAGTAGCTTAAAAATAACCCCATGTAACCTGTCTTATAAGTACCTGACCTGTCCAGGGATGGACAAATGTAGAGTGAATGAATGAATGACAGTATGAGTGTGTGTGTGAGGGGTGAAGACCCAGGACAACTGACTTGCTAATAACTCTCCTCCCCATCCTAAAAGAGATACTTACTCTCAACAATGGGTTTCCTGAGGAGGCCTCCCTTCACCAGCACTTCGTCTACACCTGGTCCTGCTTCCCCTAACCACTTCACCTTAATTGAGAGACAGTTTGGTGTAGTGGTTAAGTGCGCGGATTCTAATTTGGGAGAACCGGGTTTGATTCCCCACTCCTCCACTTGCAGCTGCTGGATGACCTTGGGCAAGCCGTAGTTCTGACAAGAGCTGTCCTTGAAAAAAAGCAGTTTCTGTCAGAGCTCTCTCAGCCCCACCTCCCTCACAGGGTGTCTGTTGTGGGGAGGGGAAGGGAAAGGAGATTGTAAGCCGCTCTGAGACACTTTGGGTAGTGAAGGGCCATGGGGTATAAATCCAATCTTTTCTTCTTCTTCTTAATTAATGGCCTATTCATACAACTCAATAGCCTCTCCCATCTTGCATTCAAGGGTCATCAGAAAACTTTTAGTTTACGTCTAGCAATCTCATCAAGGCAATATTAACCCGACTCAGGAAAATTGTCACAAGTTTCCCTCTGTCTTTGTCCATCCATGGGAGAGTCATTAAGCCTCTCCCAACACATTATTTTACACCTGAAAAACCAATCGAGGTATTGTTTTAAGGGCACACACATCAGACCACCCCAGGGTTAATTTTTCCTATAGCTGGACACTCTCTGCTCCATGCAGTGTGTGTGCGTGTGTTCTCTCAGTGCTAAACATCGCTCCTCCACACAACGGTGGGCTTCCTCCTTCTCTCTGGGAAACACAGGCCATTTCTCTCGTTGTCTTCCATGGATCTTGAACTCCAAGACTTGATAAATATCTCCTTCCCCAAATCACTTTGCATGCTACTCCCTTTTATTTTCCCCTCTTAGATAGTTTGCGTGTACCCCAAGTGCATTGTGTGTATGGTTTTGCCCTTTATTCTTTTTAGAATAAAACACCTTTCCTGTTGTACTACCGCCTGGTTTATTTGAGCGTTCTCAGGGAACAATTCCCGTAGACATTGGTGGAGTTCCGTTACCCCCTCTCGCTTGTCTCCAATTATGCTAATTCCCCCAATCAGGGGTCATTCCTGCAGGAGTGCACAGGAGCAGAGCTCCGGCAGTAAAGAGCCCAGGTGGCGGGCACATGCAACAAGCCCCACCCCTTGCTCCCAGCAGTCCTCAGTCAGAGCAAGAAGCAGCCAGGTAAGTTGCAGGTACAAAGCTCTCCCTCCTCTGCGAGGACAGATCCAACCCCCCCCCCCCCCCAATAGCTAGCAATCCAAAACAGTCCAGTGGAGCCTAAGCAGTGGGTGTTGCCTTCTAACACACATCCGCTGATGTCAGGGGGTGTGGCATATGCAAATAAGTTATGCTAATGGGCTATACTAATGAGCTCCTGCACCTGCTTTTCTACGAAATGACCCCTGCCCCCAATTAATCAGGAGATACCGATTTGGGTAATACTGACAGCGGAGCTTTCCATCTACTGGACCTTGCAGTAACAAAGCTTAATATGGAGGAAAAGGTCAAAGTAAGCATAAATCGGACTCACCGTTTACATGAATGGTAGAACTGATTGATGAATTCTATTGCTTGAGGTAAGAGCTCATCGGGGAGGGTGGGTCCATCTCGAAGGCCTCTGACCAAACCTTTTGGGTTCATGAGAGACCCCCGGCAAACTTTAGCCTTGCAGTCAAGAGCCTGTGGGGGGAATAAACAAGACAGCCGGATCAGAGACCCTGACCCATGGCTGGGGTCCGCAGTGGGCAGTGTCCGGATCTGACCAGTGCCCCAAGCCTGTTCTGCTATCCATCTTGGCTGCCCTCTCCCCCCCCCCAAGGACACGTGGGTCGGCTGTGGTTTCCCATCCACACGGGCAGCAGGCTTCTTTGGTGTGACCCGCGGATGCAGAGTTTATTTATCTACTCCATTTATATCCTGCCTTTCTCCCCAGCAGAGACTGAAAGGGGCTCACTTTGTTCTCCTCGCCTCCATTTCATCCTCACAACAACCCTGTGAGGTAGGTTAGGCAGACTGGGGGTTCAAACCTGGGCCTCCTGATCATTGTCCAGCACTCTAACCACTACATGATACTGGCTCTCTCAGTTCATAAAATACAGGAGACGAGAGGCATTTCTTGGATGCAAAGGGCCTCTCCTTCGTAATCATGTTTAAATTGGGACTGTATAAACGAGGGAGTCAAATCCAACAGGCTCTTCCCACTCCCTCCAAGAGTCTTCTTCCACTGGAGGGTTCTTACATTTCTCCTTGATCTCGTATTGAATCATTACAGATTCGGGGAGGGGGGTACTCTGTTGCAGCTTGAATAAAAAGGAGCCTTGACAGATAAGGTGGCCAAAGACTTCATTTTGTTTTCATTGCTCTAACAGTTTTGTGCTGTGGGTATTCTGTTGGTCATTGTAAGCAAGCCAGCAGAGAGGTGGGATGGAAATCCATTAAATAAGTTGAATAGTAAATTATTCTCCCTCTTCTAGTCTACATATAATACGTGAACATATCAAACTGTCAAACCAAACCAGCCCATTGGTTCATCAAGTTCAGCATCATTTACTCTGATTGGCTGTAGCTTTTCAGGGTCTCAGGCAAGGACCCAAGGATTGCTACTGGCGCCTTCTGCATGCAACGCAGGGGCCCTGCCGTTCAGCTATAGCCCCTCCCTGCTTCACTCTGTTATTTCTTTCATAAAGAGGAAGATAATTTAAAGCATCCTGCGTTGTACCCTCAGCCCATCCAGCTCAGGGATTCCTACTCCGTGACTGGCGGCAATTCTGCAGAATCTCCGGCAGAGAAAGGTCTTTTCTCAGGCTACTGGAATAGAACCCAGGGCCTGAGCCACGTCCCCTCCCCAAATCACCGCTGTCTTCCTTGGGATTCTGTAGTGATAGTTTTCGGGTCCCTGGGGTCTCAAACCTTGATATTCATGAGAAGGTTTCTGGTGATGTCATGGTTGGTGGTGGCAGCGATAGATTGGAGAGCAGTGTTAATAGTAAAACTTCCACACATCACTATGAATTGTACCACCTTGTGTCTGTGAGCATGTAGGGTCAGAATCACATGGCTTTGAAGACAGATATTTACTGTGTCTATATTTAAGACAACAAGGGAATTAACTATGTGCTAAAGGAAAAAATGCATTTGATCCACCAGTGCCAAATCTCAGTGTAAATCCCAGGCACACCCGGATGCTAGTGAATTAGGGCGGAACTAAATGGGCAGGCTTTTAAAGAACTGGTTCCAGATTCCCCAGAACCGGCCCTGTTTCCCTGCAGCCAGACAGCAGCCGGGGGTCACATCTGTTTAGGAAACAAAGGAAAGCCCGTTTGGGCTCGGAATGCCACCAGCAAGAGGAGGGAGGAGGGGCTCCTACCTCCTCTCCCCCGGGCTATTTCCCCATTCTGAAGTGGTGCTGTGAGAGTTCTCCCGTGTTGCTGCTCCATGTGCACAGAGTATCTCACACAGAGCACCAAAAAACGGGGAAATGGCTCCTCTCTCCTAGCCTGATTCCAGCCCAGGGAAACAGCTCGGAGGGGAGGCAGGAGCCCTTCCTTTCCATGTGGCAGCGTTCCAAGCCTAAACAGACGTTTGTCACAGCTCCTGTGTGGCTGTTGGGGAGCAGAGCTTGTCCCCCAACTCTTCTAAAACCAGCGTGTTTATTTTGGCCCTTAGCTACTAAGATTTCCAGGTTCATCCCCAAGACTCCGAGCCCTAAAACCTGAGTCTAGAATAGGGGCTGTGGCTCAGTGGTGGAGCATCTCGGCCCCAAGTTCAACCCCGGGCATCTCCAGGTAACAAAGAGCCGGGCAGTCAGTGGTGTGAAAGACCTCCTCCGCCTGAGCCCCTGGAGAGCCGCTGCCAGTCTGAGTAGACAATGCTGGCTTTGAAGGGCTGATGTTCTGATTCGGGATAAGGCCCTTTGTACATTCTCAAGGCCACTGTCTTCTTTTTTCACATGTCCAGATGCCACATGAGACCAGGAAGACCCATTGACAGCCTCTGACGTAACAAAATCCTTGAGTCATCGCTTAAACCCTCCTAAAACCCGCTTACCTCTTTGGCCTGGTGATGCAGTGTGTCTTGTAGGCTTGTTCCATTTTCCCAGTTTTTAATGGTTAAATATCTTGGACAGCCAGAAATCTGATTCATTGGTTTGGTGATACCATTTTGAGGAGGTTTCTGAGCCAACGAGAAACAAAAATACGAGTTATGAATCCCCTTCTCAACTTGGCACCCAGTTCTTGCCCTTCTGCTAGAGATGGTGGTGAGGTTCTGTCACTTTATCCATAGAGTGGCCGCGTGAGATTAGGCAAAATAGTGATTTGCTCAAGGCCTTTCAGAGAGCTCCACAGATTTGAGCCTTCCCCCTTGGGTCTCCTGTATAAACGAGTTATGGCTTAGTCAAGCCTGCTAAGATGCGAGAGAGTTCAAGTAATTGAAGGGCCGTGTGCAACCCTAAACTGGTTTGAGACCAGCTTTAAATTAGGTTTCAAGTCATGGGAAGGACCTCCAGGGTCATCTAGGTTTAACAAGTTTATCATGAGTCCACACCTCCCCCATACACAAAGAAATCTAGGGACTGGGCTTGGGGTGGCAGCGTAAGAGAGAGAATCCTTGGATTAGCCCACTTTTCCAGACACCCCACAGAATGACATCCCCCAGAGTTCCTTCTCCTGTTTCAGTGGTGCGTCATGAGGAAAACAGATATACTAAAGGCTGCTCCATTTAGCCCTGTTTATTCAGAAGCAAGGCTGGCTCTTGTTCCTACATAACAGTACACCCTGAAGATCCCCTACAATTCGCTCTTATGCTGAGCTGGATCTTTTTGAGCCCAGATGGGTATAACGGTTTATTTTATTTATTTATTTATTTATTTATTGCTTGATTTATATCCCGCCCTCCCTGCCAGGCAGGCTCAGGGCGGCTTACAAAATATATATAAACAGGGCTATTTTGGGGCAGGAACGCACAGGAACGGAGTTCCGGCTGGCTCCTGAGTTGGCCACACCCAGCAGGAACTCATTAGCATAATAGGCCACACCCAACTGCAGAAACTCATTAGGATTGGCTACAGTAGGTGTGTGTGGCCTAACATGCAAAGGAGTCCCTGCTACAAAAAAAGGCCCTGGGTTTTGACAACAGACAAGGTAAATAGAATAAGAAGCAAAAGGTGGGTGTGGCTGGATGACCACACTTTTGGCTACACGGGGCTGTGGCCTAATATGCTAATGAGCTGTGGTGGCAGGGTGTGGCCTAATATGCTAATGAGTTTCAGCTGTTGGGTGTGACCTGTTATGCTAATGAGTTCCTGCTGGGATTTTTCTACAAAAAAAGCCCTGTATATAAATATAAATATATTAAAACATTGAGATACATTAAAACAGTAATCAAGTGCAAACCACGTGCAAACAAGTGCTAGCAAACATAGTACTAATAAATGGTGGCGGCGTTGTCTCAGCATCTAGACAATTAGATGACCACCCCAGTCTGAGTTCTTGCCCGGCTATAAGGTACTGAGTTGGTGCTGATGTTGGGGAGCTGATGTTAGGGGGCCAGGGCCTCGGCGTTAAGAGGTGGCCCCTAGTCAAAGGCCTGGTGGAAGAGCTCCGCTTTACAGGCCCTGCTGGACTGTAAGAGGTCCCGCAGGGCCCTGATGTCACCTGGGAGTGGGTAAGGTGGAGCTCATTCCACCAGTCTAGGACTGCACAGCTAGGCTCTTTGCAATAAAAGCACCCTAAACCTAAACTCAAGGGCCACGGTGGCTCAGTGGTTAAGACACTTAGCTGCAGACAGGAAGGTCTGTAGTTTGGCCGTTCGAGAACCAAGTGCCGCGTGGTGGAGGGAGCTCCCATCTCTGGCCCCAGCTCCTGCCAGCCTAGCAGTTTGAAAGCAAGAAATTGCAAGTAGATAAATAGGTGCCACTTCAGTGGGAAGGTAACAGTATTCCATGCGCCTCCACATTTAGTCATGTTGGCCACATGATCACAGAGAGGACTTCAGACAGCGCTGGCTCTTCGGCTTGGAAACGGAGATGAGCACCACCCCCTAGAGTCAGATTTGACTGGCTTTCGAGCAAGGGAAACCTTTACCTTTACCTTTAAACCTAGACTCACTTCTTTTGAAGCCGCAGTCTGCGTTGTCTCATCTGGCTTCTTGCTACAGGTATTTAAGGCAGCACTTTCCTGCTTGACTGAGCTAGAAGGAAAAGGGAGTAAGAAAAAACAAGTTTAACTGATTTTAGGCTGCTGATAATTTTAAAACAATGCTTTAAACATTTAAACAACACAATGTGTTGTTAATTTGTCTTTGAATCATTCTTGTGGTACTGGCATTTTCAACAGGGTGTAAAAAAACATATTTATGGATCTAGCGTTGTTTAGGGGATTATTGTTTGCTGGGCAATCAATTAATAACATGTTGTAATGTATCAAGCTCCGACCGCATGGTCAGCTTGGGTGCTACACGGTCAAGCGCAAGCGTCGAGCTTCACTCCGATAAACAAAGGATGACGTGGATCCTAGCCCGCACCAACCAGAGGGCTAGGCTCCAGGCCGAGAGCCTATGGGACTCTTGGCCACTAGTTGGGACCTATTGGGAAGTGGGGGGGTGTTCTGGGTGGTGGATTCACGGGGGATATAAGCCGGCCTGCGAGGCAGCTAAAGTTGTCTAGTCCTGGTCCCTGCACAATGCAGGACATTCACAACTACCTCCCCCACCCCACCCTGTTCCCAAGTGACCCCCTGCTCCGTGCCCAGAAGATGACCAAAAAAACCCCCCAACAACCCCAAACCCTCCAGGATCCCCGGCCAAACTGGCCTGGAGAAAAATTGCTTCCTGAGCCCCAAAGAGGCAATCAGCATTTCCCTGGGCATGTCAGAAAGGGCCGTGAGAGCCAAGCACTGGCTCATCTCTTCATACCATCCTTCTCACAATCTGCCTAAATTCCCAGAATCAGCATTCTTGTCACACAACTATCTAGCCTCTGCTTAAAACCTTCAAAGAAGTTTTGAGGAAAACGCTCTAACTGTCCTAGCATTCTAACATTTAGCTGAAAACTCTTGATCTAATTTCAATTCACTGGTTCTGGTCTGACATTCTGGGGCAACAGAAAACAACTCCACACCATCCTCTAGATGACAGCCCTTTAAGTACTTGTAGATGGTGATCCTATCACCTCTCAGTCGTCTCCTCTCCAGGCTAAACATACCCAGTTCCTTCAACCTTTCCTCGCAGGACTTGGGCTGTGGTCACATGGCATGCTTACTGCAATTTGTTCCTGCTCTATATTTGATTGGGGATATTTTTTTGTGGCTTGGGAAGATCACACATCTGTCCATGAACTGCTTGCATCACGTGACAAGGCTCCAGGCACCATCCAGGTAGCTGTGCCACCCAAGCGGTGGTGCGGTGTGAGTTTTTTAATTTTATTTTTCTTTATGCATGTGCATGGCCAAATCACTGCTCCCACTTAGACATGTTGTTTTTGCAGTGTTTCCCCCAAAAAACAGCGAACAAAATGAACCACCAACATACAACTGAACGCTGCGGTCTATACATGTGCGCCTGAACGTTCATGCATTGACTATATTCAGCACAGGACTGCTCATGCGCACAAGGGTGAAAGCTAGAAAAAAAATTCAGTGCGAGTTCAGATGACCTAATCGCATTCATAGCGAGAGATGGCTGTCCAGATTGGTGAAATTGCGGATTCATGGTGCAAATATTCGGAAAGTACTTGATTTTGCTGGTGTTGGAAAAATCGCTAGGATTGGGGGGGGTGAGTCTGCTTTGATATGGGAGACGGATGCGGTCGTCTGATGAGCCCTTTCTAATGCGATGGGGAACAGTGGTGAGACCCGATCAAAATGACCCTATGACCACAGCCTTGATCTCCAGACCCCTCACCATTGTTGTTGTCCTCATCTGGGCAAGTGGAACTTCTCAACATCCTTCTTAAACTGTGGTGCCCAAAACTGACCACAATACTCCAAGTGAGGTTTAACCAGAATAAAATGATAACATCACTTTGTGTGATCTGGATACCATGCATCACATTTGCCTTTTTAAGCTACTGCATCACACTGCTAACTTATATTCTGTGTATGGTCTACTAAGACCCCTAACATCATGTTCATTGACCCTCCACCTGGAACGGATGTCACCTCCTCTGTCCCACTCTAGGAATTTCCCCAATATTTACATAAAAGACCGTAGAGATTGGGAACATTCCTAGAGCGTCACCCAGAAGAAGAAGCATCACATTCTGCAGAAATGCTACCTCGGGCAGGCAACTCCTCCCCCCCCTAATCTCCTGGCATTTGCCAGCCTGGGGCCGGCAACTGCATATCAACTCCAGTGGCCATATTGCGATACAGAACATTGATGGCAGCCATGAATGGCACTTTTCTCCTCATGAATTCCAGGAGTTTGAGGCAACTGTGGATGCCCTTCAGAAGAAGGAGGGGAATACAACTGACCAGTTCCCCCCAATTTAAAGTGTCTGTGTGGGGGAAGATGGCTGCATCTTCTCTTCCCCCTTCTATATGCTCCAGCCACTCCTTTTTTACCAAGGATGGTTCCTATTTTCTGTTTCCTGTCCCTGCAAAACAAAACAAAAAAATAAAACCCAAAAATGGCCTGTTTCTTTTGGGGGAAGTTGCTGAAGGTACACTTTGTATTATGTTATTAACAGGGCTCTAGTCGGGGGGGGAGCTCTCAGGTACGGAGCTCCGGAAGAGAACCTCTAGGGGGCGGGGCGGTCACGGGGTGAAGCCCCGCCCCCTTCTTTACCCCGCCCTCTGCTTCGATCCTCATTCCGTTTGGGAATGAGGATGAAGCAGGAGGGTAAGTAGCCGGGCCTTCTGACACACTTCCGGTGATGTCAGGGGGCGTGGCATATGCAAATAAGTTATGCTAATGAGTTATGCTAATGAGCTCCGGCAGCTCTTTTTCTACAACAAGACCCCTGGTTATTAATATAATAATGTATTTAATAATAAAGTAGGTAAACTGAATGGGAGGGCCAGATGCCGTAGTGTACATGCACATAAACACAAGCTCATGAACCCCCCCCCCATGTCCATGTGCTGCATCCCTCCAGAACTGGTCGCCCAGGCGGAAAATACAGTTGCGTGTGTGGTGTGTGGTGCCGTGGTCCTCCTGCAGATGCAGAG